AGAAGGAATGCTGCCGGGGCGCACTGGTCTAAAATAGAGCGGCACACACCAACAGGCTGCTGCGCACCAACACACACAGGCAGACACACACTCTGGAGGCTGGAGATGTGGAGAACAGCACGAGGGTCTGCTTCTTCCTCCTTCATATTAACTATATTAACTGACTGGCTGTTAATACTTCAGTCCTGAACCCTCAACTCTGTGTCAGGGTTAGCGCTTTACTCTCTTCTGTTGGCAACATCACAACGCACAGCTGAGACCTCAGCCCCCGACTCTGACTAAACTCATAACCTGCTTTTCATTTTCTGACATTTTCCCCCAGTGCGAGTGGCTTTTAATAACAGATGTTGTGTCTGTGTGGATTTCATTAAGCCAAAGAGAAACTTCACTTGGGTATGAAGACAAAAAACTATTAAACCCACAATAACTCGGCTCTGGTGTGTGTCTGTTACTGTAAAAGCTGTACATTACTTCTACATCATTTTCCCACTAATCTCCAACCTTAATCTGTTTTTACAATGTAGGGATTAGGTTATAATAGGGTTTCACTTCTGTGGTTTGTAGCTGTGAAGATGAAAAGCCACTGGATGCTGAAGTTTCTTTAGTCATTTTTGTTTCATTGTCATGTTTTCCACACCATATTTTCAGGTTACAGCAACTTTACCAAGTTTTCAAACACCTCAAACCTGCCACTAAGCATCACAATGCTGCGTAATGAGTTTACTAAAACCTTACTGTATTAAATGCTGGAGCTGTGTCATGTCTTTAACATAGGGTGATGTTTATACTGTGACCTTACAGTGACTTGTATGTAGTTTTTGTAATTTTATTTTCCCACTTCTTGGATTTTAATGTCAGTTTTGTTCTTGTACATTGATGGTGTGAAGATGAATATGTATTAGGTATCAGGGTTGCATCTGGTGTTAATTCATTATCATTTTGCTGTATTATGCACCATATTTGACCAAAATCAATAGGGTTTTCAGCAGCTGTACATTACAGAGGAGCTGAAAATGTCCATTTGTTAAACAGCAATCTGGTGGTTTGAAGCTATGAAGATGAGCGACCACTGCACACGACTGTGTTCATAGACGTTTGCTGTAGATTACAGTGCTGTACTATGTAGCATCCCCTACTGCGTAGACCACAAGTAGAGACAAATGTTCTCTCTGATTTCTGAGGCTCAGGAGGTAAAGCGGGTCGGTCCCGATGTGTAGGGTCAAAGGTTTGATCCCCAGCTTTGACAGTCTAGATGCCAACATGTCCTTGTGTGAGACACTGAACCCAAAGGTGTCACTGATGTGTGTGTGTGGGTGAATGGGCGAACAGGGTAAAGCAGTGTGTGTGTAAAGTGCTACATGATTTACCATTTTAAATCATTTGACCCTGTTGTTCTATGCACCATATTTGAACCAAAAATTCCAGTTCACAGCAACTGAACGCCGCAAAAATGCTGATTTCTAAGGTTTTAATTCATTTTTGAAAGAAGAACAAACACTGCCTACTAATGTTTTATCTGGTTTTAAGTCTTTTATAGAGAGTTTTGCTGTTTAGTGCACGTTTGACCCCAATGATGCAGCTTACAGCACTGCAATATGCATCATCCCCAAGCAGGATGGTGCATACTGGGTCCGGGCCCCAACGATCAACAGGCCATGAATACTGAAGTTCTGCCTGGTTTTAATTCATCTTCACTTGACTTGTGCTATTCCGTGCACGATATCTGAACAACAAATCTCAGTTTACAGCAAGTGAAATGTGCAAAAATGCCCATGTGTAAGATTTTAATCTAGTACTTTAGGTACAGGCTCCATCTCTCCGGGGTCCGCAGTGTCCCAACACACCCCACACACGCATGTACACGCACACCGACACACGCACGAGGCTTTCCGCTGTCAGAGAAACGCCTCGTCATCCCGGTGCTGTCCGAACTTAACGTTAGATTCCTTTACGACGTCCCTCAGTAAAATCAGAAGCTTAAGATTCAGCCGATCGATAAACCGTCTTATATGATCAATACTCACTTTGTAGAAGATGAGCTTCAAGGTGCCGTAGAAACCCATGGCTGTCCCGGTAGGTGAACCCTCAGCAGACAAATGTGGAAATCTCACGACGAAAAAGAAAATCTACAGCGGTTAAACGCCGAAATCCATAGAAAGGAACAGCCGATAAGCAGTGACGTCAAAAATCCATGCGATCGATCAGGGAGTATTCATCGATGAGTCTGCGTTGAGCTCGCGCAGCTGCTGCCTCAGGACTCACTGAAGAGAAATGACTCTCTCTCTCCGTTTAGGCGCTAGGTCACTCGACCTGCACAGGAACACGCAGGGACATGCCTCCGAGAGAGGGGGGGGAGGGGGAGGGGGAGAGAGAGAGAGA